CCTAAGTGAATATACACAGCATGACGCAATATTCTTTAACAATGTACACAATATGTACCTCGAAGAAATAGGATTTAAGGAGATCGCATTTATATAAAGTTGTAAAATTATAATACTCTTCAACCTACCGTTATACATAGACTTCAAGTCTTCTTATTCATAGCTTCTATAGGCGACTGCGTCGATACTGTAAGTCTATCGTGGGGTGAAAGTTATAACTGGACGTCACCCAACTACCCTGCAAATTATCCAGACGAATCCCGATGTCAATTACTTATTAATACCACAGATGCGAAGGCAAGGATGAAGGTACAATTTCACCATTTCAATACGGAGCAGTGCTGTGACTTCTTTTTTGCTGGGAACGGAGACGAACCAAGCCAAAATACCAGCGTGATATGGGCGCACTCCGGCGACGCACTACCACTTGACTTCATATCCACCGGCAATGAACTTTGGTTCCGGTTTATATCGGACTTCGCCTATGCGTTGGAAGGGTTCCATTTAACCGTTAGCTATCTCGGTATGTGAATGAACGTTTATGAGCTATTGAGGGCAAACAATATGTTCAGAAAGTCGAGTCTTAAGAATATATTCAAGTAGTTTTTGAATGTTATTTATTTATTACATTTATTTTCGATATTCCATCTTGATAAAAAACAAACATTAGGATATCCAAACCTGATTAAATACTGAAAAAAATGAATCTATAGGTGTGTGTAGGTGCTCAACAATTCGCGATTCTTCGATAGATTATATCTGTATTTGGAACACCAATTTATTTTGTATTTCACGAAAAAAATACGTTTACTTGAATCGCATAATAAGCATCAACTACATGCAATATCGATTTAATAAAACGCAATGGCGATATTCCTATTTTATGTACTAGATACCAATTTAAAAAAATATAATATATGTGAATGTGAGAGATTGATATCCACAACATTAATTATTACTAAATATCATTTAAAAGGTGTGAGTATGCAAAATTGTCATTCTCTCCATTTTCATTGTTGGTTGGTTGAGGAAAGACAAACTCGAATAACAAACTTAGTTTATTTCCTGCGTAACTTTCACATTATATTAATGTGTGTTTATCATAAACCAATGACGTCAGATGGCTTGGCCTATAATGATTCTGTCATCATTCTTGCCCCGGGTGTTCAAAGTAACACTTAATATGTCGTTTATTATGTAAATTCATTTGCATTTTAATCAATATGGTAGATATTGGTTCGTGCAAAGATATGTGTGGAAGCATCAACGTTGAATACAACTGCAGCTGTGCCGAAAACTGTTCAAGAGACGGCTCTTGCTGTCATGATTACTTCGAGGAATGTGGTAAGCGCTGGTAATGGTAAAATAAGATGTTTTGTAAGAAATAAGACTCTTCGTCGTCACAGACTTTACATTTTTTATTCTTCTTCAAAAGCATAATTCATATGGTTACATTAAGGTACAATTTAATGCATGTTTTCCTGCAAGGTAGTATTGTCCGAATTTCCATATATATGAATAAGTAATAAATGTAAATCACGTAAAATATATCATCCCTATCCAATTAATTAATTAACCCAAAGTGAACTTTGTACAAAAGACATGATGTCATACACCGTATCTCGATGTTCGACCCTAGTTACGTAATTGCGCATACACCTTTAAATTGCAGGAAATTGTGGAGGAACTTTATTCGTGGGGCCAGGTGAAAATGTCGATATAATGACTCCGAATTATCCCTCCGATTACCCGGCTATGGCAAGATGCGAATGGTTTGTGCACAGTACGGATGGCAATCTACTCTACGTGGAATTCGTAGATTTTAATACCGAGTCATGCTGTGATTTCGTGTACGCCGGAAACGGTATTATTCCCTCCGAAGATACCGCCGAAATTTGGAGGCACAGTGGAAGCACTCCGCCACCAAGCTATATTTCTGATGATCGAACAATCTGGATGCGTTTTACGTCCGATTCATCGGTGCATCGTCGTGGTTTCCATGCAGTAGTGTACCAAGTCCGTAAGTTGATACTGTCTATGCGTAGAGGATTTCGAATCGTTGCAAGATTACTCTTTGAATATGTAAATGCTTCTTTAATGCACCATTTCAAACAGCTAATTAGTGATCTAAGGAGAGGCAAATTTATTGGCCGTCGTTTTGAAACATTCAGCACAGTATTATGGTAAAATTAGTTTATCACATAGATGAATGATTATTCTCAAATCACATTCTGTTGTAGCCTGAGTACATGTTTAATTTTTAACTCATTTGCAGAAGGAGGTTCGTGTTTTGGTCAGTGTGGACAGTACAATTCTGCCTATGGCTGTAGCTGTCTGACAACTTGCCCATCAAAGGGTGATTGTGTCATGACTACTTTGATGCTTGTAAAGGTAGTGTAGAAATTATTGTTGTTAGTTACAAGTTATTACAAGTATTTGTAAATGTATCTGTTTCTATTTATATCTGGTATAACCTGTTATTGCGGCCAACCATGTTTTTTCTATTGTTTTTAACTTTCTAGAATCATGCTTGGTAAAAACAAATAATAAATTGCGTAACCACTGTATTGTGATATCATTTATTTCATTATTTCAATACCTGTATACGCTGTATACGCTCTGATATGCTTTGTTCGTGTATTCTAACCCAGGGCGTAGGCTACGTCGATACGCATGTTGTTATACCTCTTGTTCGACCGTTAATGTTGGAATTTGTAGCATATTCATGCGCTGGCTCGATTGATCTGTAGCTTGATATTCATTATTAAAACAGGGTTCTTATTATCGTTATTTACAGGTAATTGTAGCCAGACATTACAAGTACCGACAGGCGGTAAAGTGGAAGTTTATTCACCTGGTTACCCGAATTCATACCCTCCAAACACCGTGTGTGAGTGGATAGCCTATAACCAAAAGCCGGGGAACAGAATCAACGTTCTCTGTAATTCCTTCAATACCGAATCTGGGTATGATTTCTTTTTCGCCGGTATAGGAGACGAACCGAGCAACAAGACTAGCGTAATCTGGGCACATTCAGGAAATACCTGCCCCACGAATTATGTTGGTGATGGCTCCGTGTGGATTCGTTTCATATCTGATGACAGCGTGCAATACGAAGGATGGCACATCAGTCTCGTTGATGCAGGTATGGTCACTGACATTGCTCAAAAAGGTCTAAAATAGTGCAGTTTCTCTGAAATTCAGAAAATATGTGGATTTACATTATATTAGTGTTTTATTTTTAATAAGATCACATACGGAACCTGCGTTTCCGTAGGGGTTTTAATCTGTCGTTTGCGGGCACAAATCAAGCTGTTTTCGTAATAATAAAAGCATGTTCTCGGTTGTACCTTCAAAATAATATTGACGAAATGATTTTCATGTTTGTTTCATTTCAGCCTAAGACATTAAAATAGAAACAAATTACACACATGTAAGTAACGTGCTCTTTCTTAGCATTATATGAGTTTCTGCTTATTTAACCATAGTAAGTTTGCAAGTTATTCATGGTTGATTTTTTTAATGATAATTTAACATTCTAAACTACCATGAGCTTCAACTTACTGGGCCATGAAGCCAGTTGGTAATGTAATTTCACCGTTAATGATAAAAGCAAACTAATAATGTATTTTGTTTATCAGCAGGAAAAGAATCTTACTACCCACTGTTTATAAAAGCAAAAACGCTTTTGATGCAAGAATCTTCTTCTTTAGCTGTTTTGCTATACGCTGATCATTTCATCTCTCTCTGTGAAATTATGTCAGAGTTGAGCTGCAAACACAGAAATATTATGAGTATAAATCAAAAGCTAATACGGAATATGAGTATTTCATTATTTTATTTTACATTTTACTAATTTTACATTAGTGTTCATGAGGTTTTTTTAGCTTGTAAGATGAAGAGTTTCTGAAACAAAAATCAATTGCTGGCCTCATGATAACGACCTCGAACATGTAGTTTACTAATATATATTTCTGTTACTCAACATATCAAACGGTAACATACATAGCCGAGCTTGAATATCGAGAAGAGGCAGGTCGTCACGGTTTTTATAGAATTGTTTGTTGAACAGATTGTGCATCGATAAAATTAGTTTAATTTCATTCCATTACTCTCTATTGATGAAATGTACAGGTGTTCTATTCCATGAGATGTTACATTCAGTGACACAGATGGTAACGTGTATCTCCCTACATTGTTTTCGTACGCTAAGGCAAAGACAAATTATATGGTGAAATATGTATTGTAACTTTTGATCAGTATAAAGTATCAGTATATAATTGTCGGGGCACATTCCCATATATCTAAGACTTTAGAATAGTTATATATTCTCATAGTTGTCTGAGAAATTGATGAACCTTAATGTTGCTGAACGTATTCATAGTCGGAAAATAATTTCCAAACTTTCCACTGCTGTTTCTGTTTACATAAATGGTCTTAAGTTGTATTTGAAAGTACAGAATCCTGCTCAAAATTTACAATTCAGTAAAATACAATGTGATTCAATACAATACAACGTGGTGTGAGTGACACGTATGTTTTCGTGCTCTCCGGTCGTTTCTCGCGCTGTGGAAATGTGTTACAGTAACTTGTTTTGTGTTTGTCAGAGGAACTTCCTCATAATCTACTCATTTGTGATATCTGTTTTGTTCCTGTCGTGTTTTTGGTGGCTTTTATGCTACGATGTGCAAAGCTTATTGTGCTGTGTTACAAGATGGCCACTCACACAGCCCAGTTATCCAGACGCGAAATGACGCTGCATAATGTTAGTTCAGTGTTTGGTAGGCAGTGGCTGATTTAGTCGGAGATAGTTCTGTTGTTGCAGTTGGTTATTTGGCCTCTCAACTTAAAGTTGTCAAACATGTCATATCGTTCCGCCGCCATCTTCTTGTTCACTAAAATAACGTAAAAAGTTGGAATGTTTTGCGTGTAGAAAAACAACAACAACGACGAGCTAACAATATTTTCGGTGCTAAGAAGCAAGTTAATGTAAGCCATTGTCAAACAATTTCCAACCAATATAATCACAGTGAATAATAATAAACACCAATAAGCCCACCTGCAAACATACGCTACAAAAAAACATAGTTGGTCAAACTTTCCAGAAAAGATTCAATGAACGTTGAACCTGATAGGGGTGATGACAACGTTAGCAACACCACTGAATCTTACATTCACTTCATGAATCAAGTCAAGAACCCTGGTAGTCCCAGCACCCACACCATTTTTTAGTATAAATATTTCATTGCGGGTGGGGTGGAGTACAAACTTATTGTCGAAGAGTTAGTAGCAGTTATATTGCGCAATGACCAATATCAGCATAATCAGTAAGTTTACACGGTCAGCGGGGATAATCATCCCTTGAAATTTACATCTCCTCCGATTTTATGAAGAAACGACTCGATTGCAATAACATAGAGGACATTGCCGAATGCCCCTATCCAACTTAACAGGGGAAGTGCCAGTACTGTTAACACGGATCATTCGCATAGGTTAGATGAATGAATAATTATATAAAATAAAACGTTCGTCAAAACCAAATGCACCAAGAGTCTCAAAAAATATGCGCGATGAATCCTGTCAAAAGTTTTTTTTCTGATCAAATGCCACAATAATTAATTCTAAAGGGGGTATTAGTGATGATGGAAGGATCAGTGCTGTTCCTTAGAAGCTTCAGTCTTGGATGTGTCTGTGTACAGTGCTACATGTCTGGATGTATTATGGTACCAATGAAATTGCGCAGACGCAGTAGAAGTGTTTTGTGAAGACCCACCAGATCAAACTGTTGTTGAATTTGAGGCAACTTTTGTAGCAACGATGAGTGGTCTACGATCACTGAGATTTCAGCGTGTACTGTAAATAGATACCCTATATATATATATACTAAAAAATCATACTATTTCCAAGTTGAGATAACATGAATTCATGAGAATCTTTTGTTCACCTTTATTACTATATTCTAAGTTACATCCGGCTTCAAACGGTACACGCGTATACGCGTCAAATAACTGAATAACACCCCCTGGAGAGAATATCAAAGAGATTTTCGTGTCTACGTTGCATTCTCGTAGATGATTTTTGCCCTAATTTTTGGCTAGACACTACATAACCTACCGAAATTCCCAGCAATTAATCTATTCCGACAAACCGCGCATTCAAAGACTTATGATGAAAAAAAGAATAAAACAAGAACTCAGATCTTGTAATTTCATTGCCGATTTTTAAAATCTCATTATACTGTACACATATAATGAAATTGCCAATGTTTCTCAAAATTATGTTTTTAAAGGTCCGCAGAAGCTCAACGAAACCAAATGTGATAATTTTGATGAACCATCACAAATGATGAACTGAGCTTTACTCCCGGCATCGAAACCGAAACATTGTACTTTCCTATGGAAAAGGGTGGGCAAAATGTGGAATACAACTTTTGTATTCCTACTTCGTGGTTCGTAATCTTACCACCCCATCACTCGAAAAAGTTACGTTCTAAACTGGCATAAATCATTTGTTTTACCTCTTTGTGTGCACGGCTTAAGTTGGGATTCATTCCATCCAGCCCAAAAAGCGACAAAACAAAAAATCCAGCGACCCCCTGGAATTTATAATCAAAGTATTAAGTCAAGGCTTAAAACTGATTAAAACTGACTCATACGTGGTCGACGGTGGCGAATGTGCTCTGTTTTATCCAGTATGGGCGTTTTGGGTTTGTGTTACTTTCTGTGCTTAAATGTGGCAGACGAGTTGATACCCCTTAAGAACGAACTAATATCAACTGCCTATCTACGGGGTCTCACGGTGTTTTTTGCTGTAGTGTTATTTGATCGTCTTTTACTTTATTCTACCCATAAACTACAAGCACAGCACAACACAAAACAATGCAACGCAGTGCAGTGCAATTCAATGAAATACAATGCAACATAATACAATCGTGCTGTGTATCTACATCATTGTGGATATAACTAAATCTAATCAATCTAATCGGTTCTACCGAGGGTGATCGCCTTTGCAGGAACTGCGGGTTCGCTTGGAAAAATTAATATTAACCCTCGCACCCGTGGCACCACTAATTCAGTATACAAGGGCAAACTTAGGCATTACGGATACATTGTTATCGGATTTCCAACATTTTATTAGGGCAGATGTCTGATCTAATGACACTCTTCATACCACTGTCACAGGTCTCACTGGCGGTGGGGGCCGGAATAGTGTGTTGCGTATTTTGAGTGCAGTGTTTACGCAAAATATACGGGAAAACACACACACACACAAGTTCGAGTAATTGTGGTTGCTGATATTAATCTCGGTTCTTTATTTCTTTTCGGCCTAAATAACAACAGGTCATAGAAAGACACAACTTTCAATAGGGATGCATAACTTTCTCATACATAAAAATTTCTAACAAAAGTTAGCAAAAGTGATTCTATTAAAACTCATATCAAATTCAAGTCCATGAGAAAATAATACTAAAGAAACAATCAATCCTAACAAAACTATACAGGCATAATGCCAAGGTGCTCATGTTTCAAATATTAATTAAGATATTAATTAAATAAGGATGGCAATATTAAATGATAGGGTTACGATGGATATTCTGAGTCAATACAAACATCTTACTTAT